CCAGTAGTAAAAATGCCATCTATTCGAGCTATTTTGGCTTTGGCAGCTAGCTTGAATTTAGAAATTGAATAGCTGGATGTTAAGACAGCTTTTCTCCATGGTGATCTTGAGGAGGAGATTTATATGAAGCAACCAGAGGGCTTTGAGGTGCAAGGCAAGAAGAATCTGGTTTGTAAATTGAAGAAAAGCTTGTATGGTCTCAAACAAGCTCCGAGGCAATGGTACTGTAAATTTGACTCTTTTATGGGGGAGCATAAATTCACTAGAACAGAATCTGATCATTGTGTTTATGTAAAGAGGTATCCAGATGGTGATTTCTTGATACTTTTGCTTTATGTGGATGACATGCTAATTGTTGGCCATGACACAAAGAAAATTGCAGCCTTGAAGATTGACTTGAGCAAGTCCTTTTCTATGAAGGATTTGGGTCCAGCAAAGCAAATTCTCGGAATGAAAATTTTTCGAGATAGAAAGAACAAGAAGCTGTGGTTGTCACAAGAAAAATATATTGAGAAGGTGCTTGACAGGTTCAACATGAGCAAAGCAAAACCTGTGGGCACTCCACTTGCTAGCCATTTCAAACTTAGCACAGAGCAGTGTCCTGCAAGTAAGGAGGAAGTAGAATACATGAAGAATGTGCCCTATGCTTCTGCAGTTGGTAGTCTAATGTATGCTATGGTATGCACAAGGCCAGATATAGCTCACGCAGTGGGGGTAGTGAGCAGATTTTTATCCAATCCTGGCAAGCAACATTGGGTAGCAATTAAGTGGATTTTCAAGTATCTTAGAGGTACATCTCACATGTTCTTATGTTATGGTGAGCATGAATCTTTACTTAATGGCTATAGTGATGCTGATTTTGGTGGAGATTTGGACTCTAGAAAGTCCACTTCAGGATACTTGATGCTTTATGCAGGGGGAGCAATTTCATGGAAGTCAAAACTGCAGAAAAGTGTTTCATTATCCACTACAGAAGCTGAGTGTATAGCTCTTTCTGAAGCAGGAAAGGAGATTGTATGGATGAAGACGTTTTTTGAAGAATTGGGTCTTAAGCAAGAGGGATTTGTGCTGTTTTGTGATAATCAAAGTGCAATTTACTTGAGTAAGAACCCATAGTTCCATTCAAGAACCAAGCATGTTGATTTGAGGTATCATTGGATACGTGATGCAATTGAAGAAAAGGTGCTTGATGTTGAGAAAGTTCACATGAATGACAACAGCTCTGATATGATGACCAAGTCCTTGGTGAGAAGCAAATTTGAGTTTTGCATATCACAAGCTGGCTTGGTGGAGCCCCCCAACTAGCTCGGGCGGGGGAGATTGTTGAGCTAGCCCTCCCAAGTTGGGGTGCATGGCGCATGGCAGAAACTTGGAAGGTTTGGTTTTGAAGATGAACAGTGGTTTCCGACACGGACTTTTCTTATTGTTGAAGAAATGGGAAAAGCAAA